GAATTTTACCACAATTTAATGTTTTGCAGTTGTTGAGTTTGATATCTTAGCTCGCCCCGAATCAAACGTATAGATCTAGATGTAGGTCAGGCTCAATAAGGGGGATGGGAACTACCTAAAAAGCACTGATTTAAGCAAGTGCCTATTTGCACCAGTACTAAATAAAATGCCGCATTTCGATTAGCGCCAGTGCTAAATAAAACGCTGTGTGTTAGCCTAGGCTATATGAAGCTTAATCTACCTTTCGTTAACGGAAATTCTGATGGTCGAAGTGACAACGCGTCTGCGTTTGAAGCCAAGCTATTATTTTATGAGCGTGGGTTCGATCCCGGTCCTGGAAGTTGGGGTTTTTTGGGGGGGTTTTTTGTCCTCTTCTCGACTGACCAACACATTTTCCCCATAATTATAACTTGTTGCTTTGTAGGCTAGTTTTTTAAAATGTAGATCTAGATCTAGTGGTGATGCATGCACATTCTGGTTTTGTCCCCAAGAGGAGCTCTGTACAAAGTAGGCCTTAGTATAGCCTATAAATTTCCTTTTACCAATTTAGGCCTGGTTAAAGTTCAATAGTGGCTTTCCTTGGTCTGTGAGTCTAATTATTATTTTTATTTTTAGATTTTAGGCTCAGGAGAAGAAAAAAACAAACCTTCCAGGACCGGGATTCGATGCCGCGCTTGGAAGCACTGAACATTAGACTTAGGCCTAGCGAACGTAGACAGCTTACGTTCCATAGGCCTAACTTAAAGATAATATTTTTAGGTAGATCTAGAATCTATTGTATGACGATTCTGCGGACAGGAAATACTGCTTATACCGAGTTGCACCGTCTTGTTATTAATTATTATCCAAGCATCTTTCGACTTACTTGCTAAAACTCAAATGATTATGAGAGATGAACAAGACTACGTCTAGTCTACTTTTGTGCAAACAATGTCAGAAACAATTGTTCGATCTAGATCTAGATCTACCCTATATTGATCGGAATAATACATCATAAAAAAAGGAGTCAAATCCTAGGAGGTTTATATCAAGAAACTGAGTAAACTTCCACAATTCAGGCACAACTACAATATTATCATGTAGAAACGATGGCTACTACATCTAGATTCTATAGTAGTAGGCCTACTGGCGTTTCAAATAGCATGGGAGCTATTCAGAATGCGGCGTTGCGAATAGCGCTTGCCTTGATTTAAACCAAGCCAAAGGTCTGTGATTGGCCTAGCCTAGGCCAACTCTCTGGTTTGTTGTTGCCTTGAATGTTTTGATCATGTGGAGGTGTTTAGTGTCTGAAAAGTTCATGTGGAGGTGTTTAGTGTCTGAAAAGTTCATGTGG